TTAATATTTTATCTCTTAACCCTATCCCTGCTGGGGTACTTGAAAACCCCCTCTGACTCTGTACTACGCCCTGATATGCTAATGTTTAGACTTGTAAACCAATAGATGTGTTTACAAGTCAAATTGCAGGTTGGGTCTCTCAAATCTCAAATCTGTGTAACCCTAGATAGGATTAGTCTTAGATGCTCTCTTTCCTCCTTTATCAAATTGGCCTTAAACACAAATAGAGTTTTAACTAGGTTAAAAATATAAAAGCCATATTTATTGTAAACAAACATTAGATTTTGGTTTTAATCTGCACCTTGATTTTGTCTTTTGATTCCAATAAAGTAAGTGATAATAATTCTGCTCTTAAAAAAAGAATAAAATTTATATTTTAAAGTCCTTTTTTAAAGCTTAAAATGATCTAAGTAATAAAAAGACTTGGGATTAAGATATTTTTAAAAACCTCTACATAAACCGGCGCAAAGGCGCATCTAAGATAAGACCCACTGGCCTAGGTCCAGGTTTTCTCCGAAATTTGATATTTGTTGTCAACAACTTCAGCCCACGGGCTGCAGGATGCAGGTTGCACGTGTGCTCAGGGAATATTGAAACTTTACGGGGCATTGCGCATTATAATTTGTTTCGACTGTTTATAAAATACGGGGCAATGTGCAGAATTCGTTCCAACTGTCTATGCAGTTCCAATTGATCCATAAAGAACACTTTCTATAAAAATTGGTAGTGGTTCATTTTTAGATTAATTATAATTCCAAAAAGGACCATAAATTTACTTCAATGATTAGATGTCTATTTTTGCAAAGCAGGTTAATTTTTAACGAAAACTAATTGAATTTTGGAATTTTGAGAAAAATTTGAATAACCATTGGAATAATTTTTTTTGTAAGAATTTTTCAGAGAACTTAAATTGAATACAAAATGTAATATTTCCTTAAAATATGTTTAAAATTAATATTAAAAAGCGTATGTTGTTTTTATTTTCTATCGAATTTATTATTTTTTTTCTTTTGGGTTATCACTAAATTTTCAAAATAAATTATAAGTATTAAAAATGTCTCCTAAAATATTGACTAAAATATATTTGGTCAGCCCCCACTCCTGGCTAGATAGGGAAGAAAGAAACCTACAATTGTAAAAATGCAAAGTTTCAAAAAGTAATTGAAAAATAGCTTGTAGCATGTCTAATCTGAAAAATTGCATAATTGAATTTTCGACCTGTTTTTGCAAACTCATGGCTCACTAATTACAGCCACTTTAAGAAGAACCAAGCTCTTATCGTTTGCAAAATTTTCTATTGCAAATTGTTTGCTAAACCTGTATCTAAAATGGTTTTACTTATTTAAGAAAAAAGATTATTTAGTTCATCAAAAGATTAATTAAAGAGAAAAACTTGAGTTAGACGTTGTGTGATTTTACGAATTATAATTTTGCAAAAATGGCTGAAATTATCAGGTTTTTCAGAAAATTTCTTTCAAATTTTGGACCGTGAAACAGATACAGGTTTCATTCTGCAATACTAGTGATAGCCCCATTTCAACCTAAGGGTTGTTGGAGATTGGAGGGGGGTGGGTTCGACCCCCACTGTAATCCAGTGGCGGCTCAAGAGCGGGNGAAAGATATGTGTAATATGTGTGGAATGTGTGGAATTTGAGCGTGAAGACCAAATTCTTGAGATAGTTAAAGAAATAGTTTAATAGACAAATAGTTGAATTTTTCTTAGTGATACTTTTAAGCTTTAAAAAATCTATGAAATAATAAAAAGATCAAGTGAAACCATTTAAAGGGCAACAAAGTTAACTAAAAGGTTGGAATAATATATTTTTTGGTTTCTCTTTTAAAAGTCTAACTCTCTGTTTCAAATCAACGATTTCTATATCATCAATTTTATTACTTTCTTTACCATGGGTAAATTTATCTTGATTATGATCATAGCTCCATCGATTAATCATTATTGTCGGATAAAAACTAGTTTCAGGCCCACAGGTGTCAGGTTTAGAGAAGAAAAGGGATTGTTAATGTTTTTAAGTGATTCTTATAGATAGAAACAGAACCTTTGCCACAAACTCTGATTTCCTAATACCTATATCTTTGCAACCCATTGTTGTATACCTGAAATAAAGAATTCTTTACAGTAATTAAACTAAGTTTGAAAAACAACTGTTTACAGGATCAGGTTGCAAAGATATCGGGATCAGAAATTTTGAGTCTGTGGCAAAGACTCAATTTCTTTTAGAGTTGTATTAACGATTCTCAACTAGGATTCTCAACTAGGATTCTCAACTAGGATTCTCAACTAGGATTCTCAACTAGGATTCTCAACTAGGATTCTCAACTAGGATTCTCAACTAGGATTCTCAACTAGGATTCTCAACTAGGATTCTCAACTAGGATTCTCAACTAGGATTCTCAACTAGGATTCTCAACTAGGATTCTCAACTAGGATTCTCAACTAGGATTCTCAACGGTGCCCTTTTTAACATTTCTTAAAGTAACGTTTTACTGTCCGTGCTTTCTACTGAAAAGATGGAAGCATTTGATTATTTTCTATTTTGGTTTTCTCTATTTAATTTTTGCTGCAGAAATAATGGAGGAAGTTGTCAGTTTTCAAGTTAGAAAAAAAGACATTATCTTTCACATATTAATCAGATAAAGGTTAAAGGGTAACTTTGTGAATCGGACAATTGAGCTTAATATTAAACCCTGGGTCAGGTTTCATGCTTTTGAGAAATAAATAATCAAGGAATGAATTCCAAACACAAAAGAGAAATTGTTGATTTAAATGATTCTTCTTATTTTGTTATATTTGCAGTGTTGTTATTCGTAATGTACGACAGTGCAATACAGCATATTTCTTGAATAAAAACAAAGGAGTTCAAATTATGAATTGTTGCAAATTCATTTCTAAACAAGGAATTAGAGCCAAATTATCAGATGCATAGTATACAAATATAAAAGGATCGTATAAACACATTCAGTATTTATTAAGCTATTAAAAACTTTTGGGGAATTCTTAAAACTCGTCATTATGGATTTTTGAATACATCGATAACCAGAAAACTCGGAAATAGAAAGACGACTCTAAAGCAATACTAAAGTGTATTTGATGGTGTTACAAAGCAAAAAGTGTTTCTAATTAGATACTTATTAAGTGCAAAGTGGGTCTGTTGCTTTTTATTATGCTTATTGGACAATTTGAAGTCATAACTTGAGTCTAAAAGTCGTCTTTAGCGTTATCTTATTATCATTGTAGATTTTGTACTTACGTGCAGAATTGGTGGGATATGTGTGCTGAATATGTGCTGAAATTGCACGTGTGTAAACTGTAGAGTTTTGAATGTACAGCTGGCTTGAAAGATATGTGTAATATGTGTGGAATGTGTGGAATTTGAGATATTCCCCCCCCTCCCCCATCTCGTCCATCCTTCTTCATAAATTCCCCAAATCCGTTGTACGTCCTTTTTTTACCAAATCCTCCTCCATCTTCAACCTTTTCACAAATACCCTTTTTAAGTCGAAAGAAAAAATAATTTACATTTTTTTAGAGTTCATATTTATCCCTAACTTTGGTTCAAGCTGGGGGGGAGGGGAAAAGAAGAGTAGATGGCGGGGGAAATTTTAAGGATGGGGGGGGGGGGAATTAGCGACACATATGTTCCCCAGACAGTTCTATTATTTTAACCCAGTGGGGGATATTCTCATCACTAGGGGGGATTTCTATCTATTTAACTATCTTAAATCTTCATAGCTCTATCATCTAATCAGTTTTAAAAGTATTGAATTAAGTTATTAATTGTTATTATACATAAATACATCTTTATATACTTAGTTTGTCTGTTTAGATTACCCTAGGGAAGGGTTATGGATAGTCAGAATTGAAAAAATTGCCTTCAACACATATAGATTTATGGAAATTTTGGAAAATCGTCGAACAAAAATCCGCAAAATATGTTTGTTATTGTTTTTTTTTCATGCAGAAATAATGCTCACAGATAGAGCAATAATTAAAGTTGAAATTGAAGATTTATCAGTTTAGAAATTTTTTTTATTTAGTTTTTATAATTTACTAATAATATTATCCATTAGTTGTTATATTAATTTCTTTTCTTCAGGTAGAATGATTTACTGCTGAGTTCCATCTGATTCCAGTCTTGAGAGGTCTAGCCCACCACCCCTCATAGTAAGGGGTATTTCAGAGACAAGAACCTCCAAGTTTTGGAGGAGCCTTTTCATCCTTGCCCCCGAAACATCTATCACCCTGGAGGCTCTCCAGCGAATCCATATGTCGCCAATGGCGGCCGGCCATTTTGGATTCCATCACGCTAACCACGAGATGGGTATGATGCGTGCCGGTTTGTCACCGCACGGGTCTCCGATGCGCCACAGCCTGAGCCATAGTCCTGTACATAGTGTACACGGGGATATGATGCGGCATCACAGTACGGAAGAGAGAAAGTCCCCCTTGCAACCAACTCTTATAATGCAGGTAGATACAGCGATCCCATAAAAAAGTGGAAATAAAAGACGATATTTAAACAATGCTATGTGTGTTTGATGTTGTTTTAAAGCTAGTTAAAAACCAGTAGCTTAAAAAAACTAATGAGATATTGTACATTGTATTGTCATATGTGTTCTATTGTTATACAGTAAATTTGTTTTAGCTGCCTAAAATTAAGTTTTCAGTAAGTTAGACATTTAGCAGTGTCCAAAAACCGTAAGACTAACAACAGAAAAAAAAGAAATCAAAAACACTATAATCTGCAAATTCAAGAGAAAAAATCAAAAATACTCTTTGATATTCCCTTTGAAACTTGTTTTCTTAAAATGTATTTGAAAAGTTTTTAAAACTTAATGTTTAATTCTTGCAATTCTCTTCTAAAAGCTAGCAAATTATACCAGTAGCCACCCATCTAGACAGATTAAAACTGACACTGGTCTGAGTTCTCAGAACTTGTTACATGACACTTGATAAATTAACATGTTATTAGTTAGAAATGCTGTCCGCCTGCAAGGAGTATCTGAAGCTATTAATCAACAGATTGCCAAGTACGACAGCAGTGAATTCGACGACGACAAGGAGACCCAGGGCCAGGACGCCGAGGGTGTCTGGTCCCCCGACATCGAGCAAAGCTTCCAGGAGGCCCTTGCCATCTATCCTCCATGTGGCCGCCGAAAAATTATTCTCTCCGACGAGGGTAAAATGTATGGACGAAATGAATTAATAGCTCGATATATTAAACTTCGAACGGGAAAGACTCGAACTCGGAAGCAGGTGAGCTCGCATATCCAGGTTCTAGCGAGACGAAAATTGCGAGAAATCCAGGCCAAGCTAAAGGTTCCTGGTCCACACGGACACTCTTACCTAGAGCAGGCGCATAAAGAGAAAGCGTTGCAGCAGATGCAGCAGATGAGCTCCGCCCAGATAGTCTCCGCCTCCGCCCTGCACAACAGGGTGATGCATCCGCATCATCCAGGGTCACCGCATCATCCGCCTTCCCCGCATCATCCTCCTGTATCATATCATCAATTCTGGCAACCTCAACTACATCATCCACAAGAAGAGTGAGTTTACCATAGTAAAAAAAAACTGATTACTCGCCTAAAACTCAAACTTTTAAATCATAAACCCAACCTTAGACATTTTTATTTAGCAGAATTCATAGTTTGATACATCAAAGGTGTTGGACATCAGGTTGCAAAGAAATTAGGATCGAAAGTAAGAGTTTTAGGCGAGTAATCAACATTCCATTTTTTAGATTAAAGAAAAGAAATACATTTTTTTACTTTTTAATATTAAATTTTATTTTCAGTGTGAAACCGTTTATTCAGCAGCCTCCTTTCTCCCTGGGAGAGGTGAAACCTCCCATGCCCTTGATGTGCGGGACCCCGCCCCCCATCACCCCCCACTGGTTGGGGAGATCGATTGCCACGAGCCGGTTGAGGTTGTTGGAGCACACAGCCTTCGTGGAGCAGGGTGAGGGTGAGGAGTATCAACAGCATTTCTTCGTTCATATCTCAAATAATGTTTCCTACACAGATCCAGTTCTTGAGGTAATCATCTTTATTTTTTGTATTTTGATTTAATATAATATTTACGATTGATGGCGTAGATTCCAGCGACCTTTCAATAAAAATTGTGGCCTGTACGATTCAAAACGGTGCTTTTTAACCTTTAACCGTTGTCTGATCAAGGATTAAGGATTAAGCGATTTTCTTTTTCTTTTGCGGATCAGAGTCCTACTGCATACATGCCATTTTTATACCTCATTCCGATTTTATAAAAGTCTCAATACGGTTTTTAAAGTTTTAATCTTTTGATATTATATAAAGGAATTGAGTTCTTGCCACACACAGAATTTTTCTAATCCCTCATATCTTTGTAACCTGATTGTGTAAACCTTTGATATTTCAAAGATAGATAGATTATCAATCAGAGTTTGTGGCAAAGACTCAATTCCTTTCTGGAATAATTTAACAAATCCTAGTTATTTTTATGAAAAACTTATTTATTAATATCTGAAAGTTTTTGCTACAAACTCAGATGTTCCGATATCTTAGTAGTTTGCGATGGTACAAAAAATTGATATTAAAAACTTAAACTAATTGATCTAACAGAATCAATAGTTTGAAATATTAAGGTCTATGGATATTGAGTTTCAAAGATATTGGGATTAGAAAATAAAAGTGTGTGGCAAAGACTCAATTCCATAGTATAATCAACAGTTAGAATTTAATTATATTTTACTTTAATTTTAAATCTTGTTCAGCCTGTAGATGTTCGACAGATCCAGGACAAGTTCCCGGAGAAGACCGGAGGGTTGAAGGACCTGTATGAGAAGGGACCCAGAGATGCGTTCTTCTTGGTCAAGTTCTGGGCGGATCTTAACACTAATATTTCGGACGAATCAGCTTTCTACGGAGTCAATTCAACGTAAGTTTTTCAATTTCAAAGAGTACAGTGTTAGCCAAAAAAAAAGCGGAAAAGAAAGTTGTTTTTGTTCAGGTTTGATCAAATCTGACTTAAGTTTGTTATTTTTAACTGTTATGACTGATTATAGTCTCAGAAAATGTTTTGTTGATCTACAGAATTTAATCTTTATTCGATATCCTGAATCCTGATTGCATCCTGAAGGGATAACTGAAATATAGAGATCAAATTAAAAGTGCTCTCTGTGTATATCTGGATCAAACAATAGAGATTCTGAAAATCATAAAAAAAATTCTCAGCTCAGTTTATGATTTACTTACAAACTTCCCTTGGATGTTTCTGATGAAAAGACGACATAAATTTAATTTTTACCGTTTATCAGTCTAATTCCTATATAAATCATTAAAAGGTAGAATAAGTGTCTTCTTTGTTCTTATTTTAGATAGAAATACTTTTTTTTTGTAACTGAGAAATATCTACAGTGGTAGGCGATTATATCAATACAATGCTGACGACCTTTGATTTTCATTTTGATTTAAATCAAGCTTTTAAATAGCATGGAAATAACAGAAATATAAATATCAAGAGAAGCTATCAATTGAAAAACTTTTTTTTATAACCTTTAAACTTGTAATTTGAAAAAAGTTTGTTAATAATTAAAACTTAAATAAAAAGTCGTCTTCTTTGTATTGTCATAATCGCCTAACACTGTAGGAGACAATTACTCCGACAAAAAATTACAAATAACAGGATATTTTAAAATAAAAAACGTCGAAGGAATCTTTTTTTCCCGTGATAAATATATATATATATATATATGGTAAATATAGCCCCTACCTGCTCCTTGTATTTATTTTTATATTTTTAGTTATGAGAGTTCGGAGAATATGACGATCCAATGCTCCACGAAGGTCTGCAGCTTTGGCAAGCAGGTGGTGGAGAAGGTGGAGACTGAGCACGCCAGGTTTGAGGGCGGGAGGTACGTTTACAAGCTGCACAGATCTCCGCTCTGTGAGTACATGGTCAACTTCATCCTCAAGCTGAAGCACCTGCCGGAGAAGTACATGATGAACAGTGTCCTAGAGAACTTCACGATCTTACAGGTGAGGAAAATTGAAAATAAAGGGACAGGACACGATATTTTAAGTAATCAAGTCATTCATTTATAAATACAGATTTACTGCAATAAATGCCCTTTAAACGTTTACCTGAGAGAACAAAATATTTCAGAAAAGTCAGAATCTATTCAAAGTGAAGTTGTAAATCTAAATTTTTTGGTACAGTGATAACCAGAAAACTCTGATGTAGGAAGACGACTTTATGGAAAGATTAAAGTGTGTTTGAACTTGTTTAAAATCAAATAGTTTTACTGGGCCCTTGTTAAGACATTTTATTAGTGAAATGGGTCATTTTACTCTACACATTCTCTGTGCCATGTTCATCGGACTAATTAAAGTCATAACTTAGTGCCCATTGGACACATAAAAGTGTGGAATAGGAAGACGATATGGTTAGACTCAAGTTATAATTTTAAGATAGTCCTATGAACCTGAAAAACAGCAGTTGGCAGTGTTCAGTGTTTACAGACCCATTTCAAATATAAAGTTGATTTTCTTGCTTCCCCTGAAACTAGTTGCTTTATTAGAGCATTAAATACACATAAGTTAATCTAACTGTCGTCTTCCCATTTCGCAGTGTATTTTTAATAAGAATTATTACATGTTTAAAAAAAAAAATAAAGACGTATTATTAACATATGTATATTATTTTCAGTGTTTAACAAACAGTGAAACCGGAGAGACATTGCTCTGTACCGCGTACGTATTTGAAGTTTCAACCAGTGATCATGGAGCCCAACATCATATATACAGACTTGTTCGAGATTGAACACGTTTTACAAAATTAAATTATAAGGATTAATGCAATTTTCCGTCCAACACGCTTTCGAGGAATCATGATCTCAAAATTTTGATATTTTTCCCGCGTTTTTTTTATTGACTGAGCTTCTGTGCCTGCAGTACGTTTGAAAACTGGATCTCATCGTGTGTTTACAAACAAAAAAGATCTCAACAGTTTTATGATCATTTATATTGGAACCATTTATAGATAAAAAAGTTTGCATTTGAAATTTTTTTGGACTGAACTAAAAAATACTGTTTTCTTCCCATTTTTTTGTCAATGAGCTATCAAGATTTTTTTCTACGTTTTATGCTTTATAAAAGTTTCAAATATTTTTTTATACTTCAAATGCAAATTCATTTTTAGAACCCAGGGTAGTTTTTTTTGTCTACGACAGAAGTAAAGTTGAAAGATACAGGGTCATTCACAAAGTAAGAAACCCCAGATTTTATTTCGCCTTTTACAAATATTCCGAATTTTCTAATTAACAAACTTATTTATTTGCCGCATTTTTAAATAATTACAAATTTATTTTGTATAAAGTTGTGGATAACCCTGTATTTGAATTAATTAAGACAAATCTTAAAAAAATAACAATTTTAAAAAGAATCCAAGAACCATGATCATCCTTGTGCCAATTAATCTGAAATGAAAACGCTTAAAGTTTTACTTGATGAGGAAATGTTAAGGATTATTTTTCTATTCTCCCGGAAAAGGATATTTTTAGAAAATGCATAATATCAAAATTTAGAAATATTCATAATAATTATTAATATTTGTAAATGAAAATAGTATTTGCTGTGATATAGTTAAATATATGATATTATATAATATTGTTTTATACTTTTGTAAATAAATCATTTCATGCATATAAAAAGTTTAAAAGTTTTGTCATTAAATACAGTGATGGCAAAAAAAAGTTTCGTAGTCGCAGTAATGTTGAAGTTACCTCATGAGTGTACGCTATACAGCGGATTTTCAGGATCAACTGATGGAAAAATACATGAACGGGAAAAGTATTTAAAAATTGAATTATTTTAAATCAATTTAAGCTACAATTCATACAATGTTTGTAAATAAAAAGATTATCAGAATTTAGATATTTTCAATCTGTCTTCGAGGTTTTAAAACAAATAAGCTAAAAATATTGATTTATTATAATAAAGCAGTTTAAACATTATATTACAAAATATATCGCTAAAAGGTAAAAATTTTAAAACAATAAACAACTGAGTCATTATAATACTTTTCAGGTTTCTCAGATCTGGGATTATTTCTTACCATTCATAGTTCACCAGAGGTTGTCCCAATAAACATTTGTTTTCTTTGTTCAACGCGGCATTATTTCGTAAACACCATTTTAGTAATTCCTGCAGATGTAACATTTCACACCTAAAACAATAGTACAGGCTATCCTAAGGAGTATGATATATAAGGGAGATGGAAATGACCCGGCCCGCCCTGCCATATGATTATATATACTTTGCAGACAGTACTCCATTTAAATAAGAAATATTTGTCTGGTGCACATGTATTCAGAATATTAAAGGAACAGTAAAGGAAAAATGAAAGGGGGTATAGGCTAAAAGCTAATATCTTTAGCTCTTGATCGCGACCCATGAAAGTTTTATCTGATGTTCCTGTCTCTATAAATTGATTTAAAACTGTGTTAAAATTATATGAAAATTCATATATGTAAAATTTAGAAAATCTTAAACTTAAATCACGTGACCAGAACTTTCACCAATGGCAGAGCAGTATACTGATCACGTGTCTCTGCCTGTATCACGTGACACTTTACTGCACTGTCATTGGTGGATTTTCTGGTGAAGTAATTCGGACGTGTAAATAATATTATGAATTAAATCTATTAAAAATAGAAATAACAAATATAAAATTAGAATTGGAGTAAACCTAAGTAATAATTAGCTTTCTCGGGGATATTATCGTTTTCAGATTGGTTGTATATTTGCTGAATTTGATCTATTTAAACCCACTATTTATACAAAATTGTATATATTTTAATTTTCGTATAAATTTGACACAGTTGTAAATCAATTTCTTGAGATAGGAAAATCAGATATAACTTTCTTGGGTCGCGATCGAGAGCTAAAGTGATTAGCTTTCAGTCTATACCCCCTTTCATTTTTCCTTTACTGTCCCTTTAAACAGGGAAAAAAGTAGACTGAATAACGCCGAGCAATACAAACGTATTTTTATAATATGAAAATCGTTTTATTAAATGTGGTAAAGTAAGAAACCACATTTAAAAATTAAAAGACGACCTTTAAAAACAATCTTGTTCAAATTGAGTACCGTCTGCAAAGCATGTATAATCATATATATATAGTAAGGCGGGCCGGGTAATTTCCATCTCCCTTATATTCCATACTCCTTGGGTTATCCAAACCAAATCTACCATTTTGCATTTCAAGAACGTGGATATATTAAGAAGAATGTCCAGATACTCTAAATATTAAGATATGAACAAGAAGGAAAACCACATTTTTGAAAGCTAACTATAGACATTACACGTACGTACCGTACCATCTTTTAAATTCGTCAATTGTCGGCAATCAACGATGATTTTCAAGTTATCTCTCAATTCCCATGTATAATATTTTAATTATTGACATTGATTATTTTTGAAAGAACCTAAAAAACCATGATACAGGATTGCCCACAGAGGATAGAAGTTCAATGACGACCTACACATTTTTCATTCTGTCAATCTGAAGGAAGACGACATTTTTAAGATATCATGTGTAATGATGAATCAAATAATAAAGCAAATAGTTTTGCAAATCAAATTTTTACAAGTGAAATGGATCTGGGTACACTGCACAATTGCTGTGTTTTATAATCATGTCTATTGCAGTCTATCAGTCGTCTTCCTATATAACAGTTACACTAACAAACCCAAGAAACAATAAATAGAAAATTACAAAGTACAATCTAGAAAGTCGTCTCTTAAGTCTCAGTCTTTGTGGATTATTATGAAGAATATGATGCAGAATCTTTCTGGTTGTTGTGGATAGCTCGACTAAGAACCCAGGTCCAGATATTGGATAGTTAGACTATGAACCCAGGTCCAGATATTGGATAGCTCGACTAAGAACCCAGGTCCAGATATCAGAATACGTTTCAGATCTAATAGGTTCGCGTTCAAGCAGAATATTGTGTAATCCTTCCTTCACAACCTAGATATTCATTGTTCTTATCCTTTTTCCGTTATCCAATATCCATTATCCAATATCCATTATCCAATATCCATTATCCAATATCC